AATATACCTGACTTAATAATATGTAAAACAAGTAAGAAAGTCTAAGTTCGGGCAGAGCCGAACATTAAATACCCGGCGCACGTATTAAATATATGTTTTTACGCCTTACCGAAAGCTACGGCTACATGGTAAGCCGGGGCGTATCAATTTTGAGTAAATTAGAGTCCTTAGGTCGATTTTGAAGTTTCAAGCAGTTCTGAAATTTACCGTTATATGAGAAGCGGCCGTTATTTTAGTCCGATTTCAATAATTTTCAACGGTTTGCTTATATGTGGCAAGCACAATAACCACACCGAGTTTGGTACAAATTGGTAGAACGGTTACTGAGATACATATATGTGATCATAAGTGGGCGGTGCCACGCCCATTTTCCAAAAATTTATCACAAACGTATTTCTTGGTAAAGAATTGTTGAAAGCATCAATTTTGAACAAATTAGCTTCAATATTTACTGATTTATCGAAGATTTTGTATTTCTCTACATTACCGTTATATGGGATGTGGGCGTGGTTATCGTCCGATTTTAAAAATTTTCGGCGATTTTGTATGCTGTACCAAGGCCGATAACTGTGCCAAGTTTGGTAGAAATTGGTACAGCGGTTACCAAGATATACACATGTAACCATAAGTGGGCGTGGCTACGCCCATTTTCCAAAAATGTATAATATTCTTATTTTTTGTCAAAAAATTATTGTAAGTACCAATTTTGAGTGCTTTATCTTCAGTAGTTACTAAAATATCGCAGTTTTCGTATTTTTGGAAATTACCGTTATATGGGAAGTGGGCGTGGTTACAGTCCGATTTCGCCCATTTTCAATAGCAACCTACCTTGGAATAAGGGAAACCTACATACCAAATTTCGTTGAGATATCTCAATTTTTACTCGAGTTATCGTGTACACGGACAGACGGACAGACGGACAGACGGACAGACGGACAGACGGACAGACGGACAGACGGACGGACAGACAGACATGGCTTAATCGATTTCTTTTTTCATCCTGATCATTTATGTATACATTTGTCTATATCTATCTCGATTCGTTTTGGCTGTTACAAACAACCGTTATGTGAACAAAATTAATATACCCTTGTGCACAAGTGCGCTCGGGTATAAAAAAGCAATCGTACTTTATGGTATACATGCATACATATGTATAAATATTAATAAAAGCATTTAGAATACAAACACTAAGGACGAAAATTTATTGTATGAAGAAATGCAAATTGTTGCCGACAAGTCCGGTCGGTCATCCCTTCTGGGTAATTCATATATTAGCTATAATAAAATCTGGTTTTCATACTCCATCTAGCAGTGTACAAAGTTAATATTCATTGCCAATTCTCATTTATCTCGGTAGTTTCACTTATGTAGTCAGCATGGCGACTTCGATTGGCTGCTACCAAATACTAAAGCATGGAAAAACTCATAAAGAAGCTCATTTTAAAAGTTTTTGTAGACTGTGTACTTTTGGAAGTTTTGTGACTCTGGGAGAGTAATTTGAAACGCTTTTTCAATCAAATCTTTAAAAATTTGAAATATATATATTGACATCTTACAAACAACTACGTAGGCATAAGCATTAGCGGGGAACATCCCGTATTTTGCATTAAATTTGAAATGTTCCACCGGGAACCCGAATTTTCGACAATTTCATTATTCATTTCAACCTGTAAACTTCTGCTCAACATGGTCATGCTTTAACACGGCTATCGTTATTAGGTAATTAGAAAGCATTACTGCATGCAATTCTGTAAGAGAAAATTAATTAAAATTGATTTTTTAGATTTTTTTTTTTTGTGGAGGACGTTGCGAATTTTCTTCCATATAACTGCCCGTCTCCACAGGATAAAGTTTATATCTTGATACATATGTTAGAATAAAAATAGCCAATGGAGACCGCTCATTGCTCTTCAAGAGCAATATATGTATATCAGAGCTTATATTTTGCCATCTATTGCCGGCAATTCGGTAGTTTGACAGCTACTTTTTCATTTGCACGCAAATTTCGTGGTGGCAACATTATTGATATTTTAATACAAACGCAAAAATTTAGCTGTTTTTTTATTAAAATAATTATTATTATGTAATTGGATGTAAAATAGCCTCTTTTCTAAATTTTTTAAGCGATTAAATCCGGCAAAAATACGTTTTAGAAGCCATCTTACAAATGCTTATATCAAGATATAACCAGCCCACAAAAATATTGCCACTGATTTAACTTATATCTAGCAATAGAGGTGTCAAACTATCGATAGTCACACCATCGATAGTTTTGATAGTTTTCAGAAAAACTATCAATATTCACGATAGTCTCGAAAAAACAAAACTATCGATAGCACTATTGATAGCGCTATCGATAGCTCTAAATCAGTTAGGTTGCTTTGCTTTTACAGGATCATAGTGAAATAAATATTATCCTATAAAAGTTATAATCATTCAAAATTAAGTAACTGCTTAGCCAAAATACTTATCTTTTTAGAAAGTTCAAAAACAAACACAAGTTATACAAACAAAACAGGATTTACGATTAACATATGTACGTATAATTTCAAAAAAATTGGGAGAGATGATCGATAGTCTTACTAACCTATCGATATTTTCGATAGTATAAGAAAAAACTATCAATGAGTATTGATAGTCTAAAAAAATTTAAACTATCGATACTATCGATAGTGCTATCGATAGTTTGACAACTCTATCTAGCAACCAAAATGACAATTGGGCAGCAATAAATTTTATCATGTGGAGACGGCCAGTAACAAAACTGACTTTTTTATATGGAAGAAAATGCGCAACATCCTCTTCAATAAAAATTCTAAAAAATCAGTGGTAATTTTTAGCGACTTGAAACTTCCAACTTTTAATTAAAACCACATACTCGAAATCTTACTAGGAAATCTAAAATTTTGATGAAAATTGTTTTAAGTTTAATTAGATTTTGGGAACTTTGTGAACTTAGCTCAGAAAGTTTTATTTATCTAGTATCTGACATAGATCGACCCATATTTTAAGTGAAAATTATTAATAACAAATAAAGATAAGTTGCTTTCTTATTTGTCTCCTTAAATTTTTGTAAATCCCGTATTTTTGGAACAAATTATACGTTGGAAAAAAATTTGGCAACACTAATAAGCATAGGAGAATATAAACTTAAAAATGTTTAAAGTTTTTTTTATTTCCCTGTAAAATTTCAAATGATTAACATAATTAAACTGACATTATGCTAGGTGGAATAAAAAAGCTGGCACTAGAAAAATGGAATTTTTTTTTTTATTTGTGGAACACTTGACGTCATTAAGTGCTTCAACCATGCACAAAGCCACAAAGGAGTCGGAAATTTTTACAGAGGAGAGCCAGGATAATAATAATAATTATGCACATACCTGCATTACATTTGTGCCATATACATATACCTACACACATACATACTTATGTATGTATGTACATACATGTGCACGCCAACAGGCAGCCAACCACTTTTCCATGCTGCTTAATTTATATTCCTAGTAGAGTTCATAAATGCCTTCTTAATTGCCCCAAATACATACTACATTCTTAAATAAATACGATGCTTATGCTATTGGCGATAAGAATAGTACCACAAAGGGTTTGAGTGCCTTAATATAGGACATTCTCCACTGCGATAATTTCTCATTTTACTTTGCACGCAATTTATTATAACTTAAAGCTGCACTTCATGAAACTTCTTCACATAGTCCGATGGCATCGTTTCACTTAATTTTTCAGGGTTAATCTTAAATGAGAAAAGCGTTGGTCCAAAGGATAATCCTTTTTTTCCGGCGTTGGTGAATGCATCGGGTGTTTTTGCTGCGAAATTTCCTGAAAAGTCGCTTTCGTCGCTGTTTCGTGAGCTAAAGCTAGAATAGAGTTCGAAAAAATATTAAGCTGCCTTAATACTTTACTTAAGTAACTTCTGATCTTGAAAATTAAAATAACGAAATTCTGACAAAGTATTCATGTTCTGCCATTTCTTTCAAAAGGTTTTTATATAAATAAAACTGCTAAGCCATCACTAGCAAATTGGCCATCATAATTTTCTTGCATGTATGTAATACTGCGCAGGAATGAACAACCCATTATAATTACTAAAAATTACTATGAAGTCGTGTGTCCATTACATTTTTCCTTTTTACTAAATTGTATTTTATTTTCTTCATTTTCTCTATATTCTTCTCAGGCGTTATTGTTGCGCTTTTATTTCGCTTATTAAGACACTTGAAGTGCTTTTCATTCCTCCGACAGCCAGCAGGCAGGCACACTGCATATATTTGACATACATAATTACATACTTTGGAGTAAGTAGTGTGTACGAAAAGACTAACACAGCGGACTCATGTCGTCTTAGCAACAATGAGCTGGCATCTGTATAAATTAATTAATTTCTCTTCAACCAGTCCAGCATTTCATATTTTTTTTTAATACATAAACACTTTTTAAGTCTAGTATTATCATAATGCTAAAAGTGTTTTAACCTAAATTAAAAAAAAAAAATACATAAAGAGCTTAACTCCATAGATATTCCCATTTATTAACTATTTACAAGCATTTTTCTGCGTTGTCCAAAATATATCCAAGCATTTTTGGTTTTCTTTTAAGACTTCGATGGCGCTTAAAGCCAGTTCGCAATAAAATGGTTAAACAAATTCACAACTTTTTCCTTAACTTTTGGCATCCGAAATGGTTTCCGTACTTTGTTTGCGTAACTATTTGAATTCCACATTCAACACTCAATGGGCATTCTGCGGTTTCGCTACATAGGAGACCGAAAGTTTTTTTTTCCGAATTTCTTGGCAACACTTCCCGTATCTTGGCCAACATTTCGACTAAAATCTAAATTTATTGCCAATCGGTCTTCACACATAATCCGAAATTTCCGTTTAGATTAGTGAATGACCCAGATTGTGTTTAAGCCAAACAAGCAAAAGGCAATTCAAAAGGCAACTTATGCACGTTTACTTTATTTTCTTCTCTCGCAGGCAACCGGCTTTGGCGGCCTACCTGATGTCACCGAGCACTCCAATGCGCACCGCACACCCTCACGCCAGAACTCAATTTCAAACAGTGATTCCGGTGGCGAAATTGCCAGCATTGAAAAGTCAAAAGTGAACTTTGGCGACGGCCGACCGCTACCAACCGCCCACCCTGCCAACATAAAGCGTAAAACGAAGGCAACCCACCAAGCAGCTAGTGACAGCTGTGCCAGGGTGCACCGCTTAAAACCGCGACGTGGCTCCTGCACCATATTCTTGACTCTCGTAGCCGCGCTTTGCCTGTTTACCATTGCCGCCATGCTCGCATACCAACACTTTGTGGCGCCAAGCCGCAATTCGCATGCTCAAAGACTGAAAATCGTACAACGGATACTGAAAGAAGTGCCGCTAGTGGATGGCCACAATAACTTTGCGTGGAATGTCCGGAAGTACGCGCACAACAGTCTGGAGTTGGTGCACATGAGACGCGATCCCAGTGCGGAGGCTCTATGGACCAGGCCGTCGTGGGCGCAAACAGACATTGAGCGGCTGAAGCAAGGACTAGTTGGCGTGCAAATGTGGTAGGTAATACAATACTGTTTGCATACACAAATGTTTCTACATACAAATGCAGGGCTTTTGTTGTTGTTGGGATACTGGAAGTTTAAAATAGCAAGATGTCAGTGGCCACTTGGCTGATATTCGCATGCCTCTGGGGTGTTGTGTTGTCAGGTGTGTCAAATGCGGAAAGCTTAGAATGCAGAACATTCGCAGCTGCGAATGACATCGTTACTATTTACATTCTTCACTCATAATACGCCGTCAGTGGCTTTGCTATAGAAAATCATCACACTGAAATAGGCACCATGCCAGTAATTTTCCAACGGCTGAGTTTGATGTAAAACGACATGTTTTTGACAGACTCTAACAGTCGGGGCCCCTAAATATAGGCAAAAGCAATGGGAAAAACGAAGTTGGGGCCTTTGAATTTTACTCAATCTTTGGTAATTTACATATCGCACAATCTCTTCGTAAAGAGGGATAACTCAAAAACCAGATGCGGAAATAGAACTACTTGTGGAAAGTGGTAGCATCCATGAAGAAGAAAATATTTACATTAACATCCACGAATTGATTTATGCAAAAATTTCCATCTATTTTTCTTTTAGCAGTGCCGGTTTTTAAGAAGCTGTGCGATATGTACGCAATTGGAAATCAGAAAGCAATATTCCACCAAAAAAAAAAAACAATATGTTGGACTCCTTCTTCGAAGGTTTTGAACTCCACCTGCTAACTTATCTTATGCTTGACTTGCTATTAACTTTCAAGGAATTCCTAGACGATTTTGTATCACTTTTCCTACATTTTTTATATGCACTTCATGCAAAGAGGTTTTTTGGCAACCCACCTTCTTTTTCTAGACCCAGAAACAGGTGCCTTATGTTTCTTCTTCCTTCTTCCCATGCCCTTATTTACAGGTCAGCGTATGTGCCTTGTGAGGCTTTGGGCCTAGACGCAGTCCAAGTGGCTATAGAACAAATAGATATTATACGTCGATTAACAGATATGTTCACCGGGGATACGATATTAGTAAGCTCATCGAAAGATATTTTCACAGCACGACAGCACGGCCAGATGGCTTCACTAATTGGCATTAAAGGTGGCCACGCAATCGGCTCCTCATTGGCCGTTTTACGGTCGTTCTATTCGGTGGGCGCTCGTTCACTCAGCCTAACGCATAAATGTGACCTCTCATGGGCGGGCTCTAGTGCATCAGAATCGGAGAGCGGACTCTCTGCGTTTGGTAAGGCTGTTATTCGTGAAATGAACCGACTGGGAATGATGGTCGATTTGTCCTATAGCTCCGATGCCACAGCTCGCGACGTTCTACAAGTTACTCGGGCTCCAGTTATATTCTCTCATTCTGCCGCAAGACAACTTTGCAATTCCACACGCAATGTACCCGACGATATTCTTCGATTGGTAGCAGACAATGGCGGACTCATCATGGTTAGCTTCGATCCAGAAGATGTGGCTTGTGGTCAGCAGGCATATCTGGGTGATGTAGTTGAGCACATAAAACACATCAGAGCCATCGCTGGAGTGCAACATATCGGACTGGGCGCTGGTTATGACGGCATTGAGGTGCCACCCGTCGGTCTTGAAGACGTTTCCAAATATCCAGATTTGCTGGCGACATTACTTCAAGATCACAACTGGAGTGAACAAGACATAGCAATGCTGGCCGGCAAAAACTTTCTACGCATCCTGGAGACCGTAGAAAATGTACGCGATTATTGGAAGCGTGCCGACATTCACCCACTCGAACAGACTGAACCACAACCGAAACCACAGTGCACATACATGTCGTCGTGACCACAGCTGCAGCCGATGCGCAGCAGTTATGCTGCCGCACAAGAATTAGACCTGAGACAATGCAATAGCATGCTGCCAACATTGACTGACAACGGCAGCCTCAAATATTATATCTGCATGATTGCACTCTTGGGGTGGTTCGGAGCAAATAATCAAAGTATACGCACACTGATGGATGCAGTGAGCTTAAATGTAATAAAATTAGTGTTTTAGGCAATTCATTTCATTTAGATTACTTCGCGTGTATGTATGTAAGTCTAATGAAATTTCTAGTTTTATTTGTTTAGGTTATTCATATGTAAATGTATGTATGTAATCTATAAAAACTTGCACATTCGCATTGTTTGACAATGTTCAAGCACATACACTACATACATATGTATGTACATATGTATTTGATTTAAGCAAAAACTTTGTTGTGAAAATGAAGTCTGTTAAGGAACTGCTCAATAACTACATACAACTTTACTTGTTTAAGCGAAAATATTGAAATACATATGTATGTATGTAAAACCACTTTACATATATAAATTTAGAGATTGCGGAGTCAGAAAATTAAGTGGTGCACAAACAAAAAATTATAATCATATCCGTTCAAATTATTTCAATAGAGCCTTGTTTCAGAACATTTGAGAGTGCACAAATACGTATGCATACATACATACATACATACAAACACAAACATGTATCTATTAGTATGTATGCTATAATGTACCTTTGTAGGCAGACAAAATATACATATACATAGAATTATAGGCAATTTCAACCATAGATGCACACAAGCATTAAAATAAAAAAAAAAGTGTTTATAGTTAAATATATCGTTTTAATTATCTGTCTTAACAGATGTAAGATGAATGTGCCAACAAATATATACCCATACTATATACTATACATACTACTTATATAATATTCTTTTTAAGAACTCTTTTTTTAGTTAATGCTTAGTTTATCGTTAACAAGACAATCTTTACCACAATTAAAAACCTAAGTACTTTGAAGATAAAAACCTGCATTTGTTTGCATTTTTGCACATACCCAATCATATGCTCATCTTCACACACAATAGGCTGATTTCAAAAATATGAATATTGTCATACAAATTCTCAAAGGATGCGGATATAATTACTTTCAAATGAAACTTTCCTTTTTTATTTTTAAACTTATTTTCGGGTATATTCTGTAAATTCTGACTAAGCCGGCAACACCTCAATGTATGTAAGTGACTAAAGCTGTGTGGGAGTTGCCTTAATTTTAGCGCCTAAATTGAAATTTCTACTGTTTTAAATTAGGCAAACTGGGCTAGTTCACTTTGATCGAATTCCAAGGGGTCAGAGGTGCGTACTACCACACTGTAGGACCCAGGCTTGATCCAAGGCTGATCCAGGCTTGCACCACAAATTTAAGGAGAAGCTCGGCCAAACACTTAGCAAAACTGTAAGCGCCAAAACATTTATTACTCATATTACTTATTCTTACCGGTATTGAATTTTTAAATAAAAAGCAGACAATTTCAGTTATTTTTTTACTTTATCATTTTGAGCAAATAATACCGATTAATTATGCTTTTTGTTTTTATAAGGCAAAAGTAAAAGTTAAAATTTGCCTTTTATTTTAGAAGGTTTAAGTTTTTTGAATAGGGTTGCCAGCTGCTTAAAAAATCAGAATTACATCGTTTGCGCAATTTTAAAACATGAGGTTGCCACCTGTTAAATATTTTGTTTCGTGTACAGCATCAGATTTGCACCGTTCTCTGGCAACCCTTTTCAAAAAAGTCATACCCTGTTGTACATTTAGAGGCCAAGCCCTTTAATTTGGCACCTCAGTTAGAATAATCGGGGTAGTTCTGGTGACGTTAACAAAAAAAAAATGCCTTCATGTATGTATAGCAGTGAATCCCAAAGTGGTCCAGGTGAACCCCCAGGGATCCACGGCAGACTCGACAAGGGTCGACGTTGACATTGGGAGGTCCATGAGTAGTAAGGGGGTCCACGAAAATGTATCTGGTTTCGATAATAATAATGGATGGGAAGTGGTTTACGTGTTTGCTTTACTGTAGGTGCCGGGAAACTCGGGACTGCCTGGAAATGAGACACCTGACCCTTTGGCCACGATTGGCTTAGACCAGGCATTCCTCGATCCGCAACCAGTTATAGCACTCCCCACTTCGACCATCGAAGCCACCATCAGAAACTGGGTGGATACTTCGCTCAGCAATGAGTGGGAGCCATCGAGTGGATGCAGGTGGTGGGCAAAACTCATGTTGCATTCAGTCTCAAAAGGTCTATCTAATTTTTTTCTCTCACTGAGAAGACTGCTGGCTGGCCACTTCACATGGCACAAACACCTGACTGTGATAGGCGTATCCTGCTTTGAAGAGGATGAGATGGCGGAACACTTCTTGAGCTTCTTGGTTGCCTGTTTGGTTATCATCGATTTATCTAGATTCGGCCTTTGCTTTTTTGTCAGTTTCAGAATTTGAAGTTTGGCGTAAAAAGCTTTGCAGTTTTGTTGTTTCAAGTTTTGTCTTTTAAAAATGCGGGTGACGAATATTTTTCGAATCGTTTTAGGCAACAATTACCGATTGCTTTCTGATCAAAAAAATCGAAGGCAAATTTTAACTTCTATTTTTGCCTTAAACAATAACAAGCAAAATTTATCGGTAGATATTATTTGCTCAAGATAATAAAAGTCAGATTTTTAAAAGTCATAGAGGAATCACAATCCACAATGAGAGATGAGTCTAATGGCGCCCTTGAAAAAGCTATAGCATAATATTTTCGCTATGCCTTTTTGATGTCAAAATTTTCAAAATAACTTTAATTTTCAGTCTATGCTTATTCTATTGTAGGAAAAATCTCAAGATTTGAAATGACACAAAAAAAGCGCCGAAACACGTAAACTTAACTTGGAGCCGTAGATTACGATTCTGTGTTCTGTTTTTAAACGACTTCAAAAAAGGAGGACGTGATCATTTCGTCGGAAAATATATTTGTTTGTGTATGTTACTGCATAACCACCTCAGAGGTGGTCCCATAGATATTTTCATATTTATGAAAAAAAATCAAATTTTAACAAGGAAAAATAACAGATTTTTTGCAAATTTTTTCATTTATATTAAAACTTGTTCTTTAAAAAAATCATGCTACTAACGAAGAAAATCGATGAATAAATAAAAAAAAAGTTGTGAATGGTCAAATGATTTTTTTTTTTTTTGATGAAATATGAGCAGGGAAGAATGTTGCTCATACGCCATGTTGTACATGGCCATACTCATACCTAGATACTCATACATGGCGTTTGAGTAACATTTTCCATGTTAAAGTTAGATTTTTTCATTTATAATGCAAACTTAAAATAAAATATCTTTGCAAAATAACCTGACCTAGAAAAAATGGTACTCTTTTGTGATTTTAGCGTTCCTACAAGGTTATTATGCATCTTTTAATTTCATGTTACCGCAGTCCAATTAATATAGATTGAAAAGTTTAGCTTGCAGAAAACCTAAATGTTGCTAAGTCACTGCATTGCCGACACTTCCATCGCTTATGTTATCGTTTATATTATTTATGTTCGTACGAAAATTTCATATACTTATGTATGTACATATGTGCATCATAATTATTTCGTATGACTTTTTAGTATACATATGCAAATGAAAATACATTCACACGCATCCGTATCCATACATACATACATATGTACATATATGAATTTGTATGTGTACACAAAATCTTGTTTATGACAATGTGATGATTTATTTCTTTCATGCACCGGCAATAAACACAGAAAACAAATAAGTCATATTTAACCATAAGATAATCTATTGGTGAATATATGTATACTTACATGTGTGTAGGTATTATTGAGTTACAATAAAATAATACATACTTATACGAATATTTAATTACACCGAGCAGGTTTTAAACACATACAAATGAGTGAAAATTAAATGACAGTATCGATAGTTAATCATAATTTAAGTGACGCACAACCGATTGTTCACACCCACACCCACACATACACATGCACACACACACTATAGGAATAATAAAATTGCAGTGAGGATTAAAAATTTAAACTGCGGAAAATACTTTTTATTTATTTAAATCCGCATATACTTACAAAGGTGGACGCAAATACATACACATGTACGTACATAACTACATACATACATACATACATACATACATACATAGTTAAGCGCATGCTTTATTTGTATGGGAAATCACATTCATTCAAACAAAAGTAACTACCGTGAAAAGTTTTTAATTGAAACAAAAAGCTCCCAGTGCAACCATTTGTCAACTCATTCTCTCACCATACGTACATACTACACACATATACACATACGCATTCGTATGATATAAAACTGCAATAAAATTACAAAAAAAAAATATATATATATAAACACAAAAACTGCTGGCTTTTCTTTTCATTCATCGAGAATTCACGTGTTGGTTTGATAAATTAGCGACACTAATTGACATTTCATGCGCAATGACGCGTAAGTATATACACACCTACATACATACACATGTGCATTTACATATATGCAGAATACACATTAATATAAATATTTTAAGTACGACTACGCCAGAGCATGCCAATTGCAAATAACCAGTGCAAGAGTAAATAAAGGTAATAAACATTATACATACATATCTACATACATATATTGCATAAAAACTGCTCCAGAAAGATGTTTAGCTGGGAGAAACGTTCTATGTGGATCAGTTCAAAATAAGCAGCCATCGAGTTAAATATGCACACAAATATGTTCGACAATTTTTTTATAAGGAAAAAAATGTACAACACCGCAAAAAAGTTTCAAAAATTAACGGTATTTTGTAGGTACTTTAAAATTGCACTTTGTTACACTACTTATGTGGAATTGAGTGGATTTTAAAACTTCAACCTAAACATTTTAAAAAATTTCAGATAGAATGCGTAAAATTTTGACAAAACTTTGTTGATTTTGAACCTACTTCAAAAAATATTTTTTTCTTTTTTTATGTGCATATATTAAAGCATTACTTTGGACCACGTGTATCGATGTCTATAATTCTTTCTATATATCTTAAGGATGTCCCCATAGTAATTTGGTTTAGATCCGATCATTGGATCATGAAGGAATTTACGGTATTGGAAGTTCGTAGTATATATTGATAACGAAACATCCGCGCCTACAGACAAAGAAGCACTTTTTTTAAAATTATGTAAATTTTATATTTTTATTACTATAAATACTCTTAGCTAGAGCACTACACATACGAATGTGTTTGTGGGCATATGCACATTAAGTAAAGTTTTTAACTCACATCCTCATTTTTGAAGTTATTATGAGAGGAAATTGTTACTTGTTGGCTGTTAAGTGGCTCTTCTGACCGGAAGTACAATTAAAAACTTCACTTAACGGAATCATGTTCAAAAGATGAACTGTGTAAATAAGCAATAGCTAGCTATATTTATATGAACAATTTAATTAATTGATAAACAAAATCGTGTTAAATACATAGATATGTATATACGTGCACTACATTTAAGTGGACAGAATTCGATTGACCAAAAATGGAGAAATGATGAGCCTTTAATCGTTTGACATAATTTACTGCGGTTTCAGGGCAGATAAGCATTTCTATTATCGGTTTTTGATGCATGTATGTTTCTTGATTGTAAACCAATTTAAAACTGATAATAATATGCTTTACTTTACTAGACACAATCATAAATTTTAATGCAATATTTAAATAAAAAGTTACAGGTCACTTCAGAAAACGGCCATAAATCTTAATATAAAGAGCTGAGCGTCTACAT